ACACATTTTCGTTCGTCGTGTGTGTACCCGATGGAGCGGTCAGTAGCAAGCAAGCCATCGCTCGAGTCATTTGTACTTATTTTTCCACGTTGCTGTTATTCACGAAGTACGGTCAGCATGTCAAATCAACAGTGAAATAAAACGCAAAGTAGTTCGTAGCGAGTTTATTTTTTATTTTTAAACTTATCCCTTGTTGTGTAGATACAGGATACCAACACGTAACACAGTGGAGAGAACGCAGTTAGATTTCGGGTTCGATAAAGTGCGGTCCGCGGATTGCGATTGGTATTTATTTTATTTTATTTTTCGAAAACTATAAGTCGTGTCAAGAATGTTTAAAAACAAAAGTATAAATGTTTACAAATAAAAGTTTTTTATACCTATTAATTAAATGTTTATTTGCTGTTTCCAAGGACGCACCATTATTGCCTGCGTGTATCACTTTCTTCAAGAAGAGTATAATTTTACGAAAGCGAACATAAATTAATATTATTTATTACAAATAATAACTGAAACAGCTTTTTATTTTGTTTACAGTTAAGATATTGTAAAGGGTTAAATTTCTGTTGTGTTTATTTTAATTTTCTACCTGTAATTATTCATTATTACTAATGTAAATTAGTAGTTACTTTAAGGATGTTGTTTTTTTAATTTGACCGCTCCTAATAACTAAACAAAAAAAAAACTTAAAATATAAAAATGGTTGAAATCCATAACTAACTAATTAATTTTTGTTTGCTAACCGTATGCACGGTCACTTTCACGCCTACATTGATGCGTATTGGTCACTCATACAACTAAGGGCGCCTCGCGCTCGTAGATTGCCAGATCTATACATTTGGACCATTCAGGGAACCGGTATCATACAACTTTCTATATTTGAATAAGGATGAATTCTAAAATATTACTAATTTTCTAGAGTTGTACAATTTCAAATCTACTCAAGCTTACCCTAATGAGGGTTGACTTAAACCAGTGAATTAAAAAATAAAAGTGTTAGGTTATTCGGAGGTCGAGTAACTCTTTAAACTCCGAGTGAAGTCTCAGTATTAGACCAAGAGAGTATCAAATGCTTATATTATGTAACTGAAATACATGTTCAACATGCATCATAAAGATGAACTAATAATATAAGATGTGATATATTGAAACATATGGTACAAAGAGTACCCCCTCCCTCCTTATTTGTTATTCGTTCTTGTAATGACAAGGTTGAATTCGAAAAGGTCAAAAATATCGGCGACTTTATTAATAATAAGCATACGATTTAAAATCGTATACCCCTAACAATATCAGTTAAATAAAACAAAAAGCTATTTACAAGGCCAAGAGGCGTCGAGTTGTATCTCTCAGCTATTTATATTTTACAGCCTTACGATTTCTTCCTCTACACAATAGGGAATTCACAGGTGTATCACCAGCCTTAGTTAACGATCCCTCTATCCAAAACAAATACATTAAATGCTTGCTTCCTAACATGAGTTAAATGTTGCAAGCTAGCATAAATATAGAAATATACGTAGGGGTGGGATTGAAAAGTTTGCGGCCATACATTAAAGCAAATACTTTTTTTTTTATTTCTCTATCGTCCTTCGTTTTGTCTACCTTTTTGGTTATTACGATAAAAAAATAGTTGTTGTGGTTTTGACAGTTCTTAGTAAGAGTGAATAAAGTGAACCACCCGTTATTTCTTTTTTCGTTTTTTTTAGCTAGGCCGTGAACTTTCCCACCCCCCTCGTACCAAGGTATATTACTACGGTATATAATTACATTGCTACATCTACAAGTGTATGTTAGCAGAAAAACATCAACTTTTCTATGGAACACAACTTACAGGACAAAAGACTTTATTCGGCTAAGAAACAAACGCCGCCCTTATGCTATTAGCTTTACTAAGAAACTGTGATTTCCGGCAATTTCGCATCAGTAATGCTGAATAAAAGCAGGTTTAGTTTAAGACAGTATTAAACGTTCGCTGTCGTTTTGCAGTAAAGTCTCTATAGTAAGTAAAATTGTGTCAGAAAGTCGTATTATAAACTCTTGTAACAATCCAAACACAACGGTCAAAATTGGATGTCACTTTTCCTATGTCTCACTTGAGTCTATACTCGCAACAGCATTTAATAAAAGAACCAGCTATATGAGTTACGCGGTATTTTGTTCACATCACTCAAATGTCATTTGTTATTCGAGTCAACAAAGAGTCATAAAACTGGGTCCCTTTACTAACAAACAAAGGCTCACTTGCACCAAAGTTCTATCAAATTTAAAAGCTTAGCATGTTTGAACTTTATTATATCTCTATTTGACTTTAAACAATTGACAGAGATGAAATGATACGTAAAACAGGATTAAGCCTTAACTTGAACTTAAATTTTGAAGCAAGTGGCCCGAAGTAAACTTGAACTAACTACGTAGTCTTTTGTTTGTGTCCATCATGACGTTAGAGTGATGTGATCGAAATACTGCATAACTAGTCAACACTTACTAATAAGGGAGTACGGTTCATGATAACGGTTGAGGTTTCAACGGTAGTTACTATTTGACTTTGAAAGCACCTTTAATACGCAGCAAATAATGCCCTTGCCAAAACAGAGATGGAAGGTTGAGACAGTGTTTTAATTTGTAATGTTCGAAATTGTTTGTATCTAGTCACACAGAAATGAAGGAGGATCAAAACAGATTCGCTTCGATTCGGCGTCTGTTTGGCAAAGGCATAGAAGCGATTCTTAGTAAAATGTATTCATAAGAAAATCTAGTGTTTATGTAAGAAAATATGCGATTGATGATAATATGAAGGAAGACGAGCAAGGAGTATGGATTCTTCGCGGAAAAATATATTGGTCAATACATTTTTTTTAAGAAGTCAGTCGTTAAGATTCAATATTTCATTCATTTCTAATAAGATACAATTTGATGAGCTTTACATTTTTAAAAAGATACAATTTGATGAGCTTTGCAATCTGATTTAAGGAATCTCATTTATTCAATTGATAATCTAATACAAAGATACATATCTTTCAGAACTACTCGCGATAATTTTAAACCAAGCATGGTTTTATGAAAAAAATCCCTGAGTTAGTGTACGTTACAACACATTTCGCTGATTCACTATTTAACTGAATTCTTACGTGCAGTATCTAGAATACCACCTAGTTTGTTGGCAAATTGACCACATAGACTTTTCGATTTCGATTACCAAAAATGAAATCTGATTTATAAGTATAATAATTTTAAAGTAGTCTCTTAATTTAACGAGAAACGCAAGCGATTTCGATAAACCAAATATTCAGTATCATTTGAGATTACCGCTCGGAACATAGACAGTATCTATGTATGTGGCTCGGAAGAATGATACTTTCAAACTTCCTTGCAAATGTAAAAATTACTGAGGAGTAACGTTATTAAAAGACACTAGCGAATCTGACAAAATTATATTTACTACAATTGATTTCAATAAATACGAGTCGCAAGGAAAACTTTATATAATATTCGCTTAAGTTACCTTCTTTTACTATCTAATTGTACATTTTCAATCAAAACACACCCATATAAATAATTATTATTAATCAACGAAATTGGAAAATTAACTTCTTATATTGTTCTAAACGCAAATATTAGCAACGTGCTCTACTCATAGGTAATCAACTCTGAGATAGAAAAGGACAATGGGCAAAACACACCCAGCTCCGCCAACAATGTAATTAGTATGAATCGATAGATCTATGAAAAACTAGCCTTTTTTTATTATGACACCGAAAAAAATTGCCCTGGCAGTCAAAAGATATGATACCGTAAAATATATCCTGGTAGTCAAAAGATCTGACACATGGGCATATTTAAGTAGCTAAATAAATTCATTTTATAGTACCATCATTTTATATTATTATTAACCATAATAATATGTCATATCGTACTATACAACCAGATATACGACAAAGCCTGCCGATCATCCCGCGCTTGCACTTACAAGGACACCTCAAAACGGTTTACGGGTATTGAAGGACTTGCAGTTGCAAATAGTCGACTCGTCTTACTTCGTTGTGATTGTACGCTCGCTGTCACTAGACTGATTTTTATCTAACACGCTTTGGACATTGGAACACGAATATCGGTTTTGTCAATTAGTATGGATGAAGTGGAATCATGTTTTCTCCGAAGCGTGTACAAGTTTGTGTGATTTGTGGTCGCTCCGTTTAACATAGAAGACAATTTACTATAAAGAACAGAATGTTTAAAAAACCCCAACCCATGCGGGGATTTATGAATTTACTCTAGCGCGTCAGAATAACATAAGGGGGTACCCTTGCACTTTGTACTCCCGTAATACCTGAGCCCCCTTTGTAGGGTCGAACTAAATAACTAAATTAATTCCCTTGTTTCATTAATGTTCGTTCGTTATAGTACTTGTACCTATTAGCTTAAAATAACTAAAGACCCCCGGGATGGAATTTGATGCGCTTTGTCACAGATGATCATGACTATAATACCTTTCAAACAAATGTAGTTTAAGGCGTGGCGGACGTGGGTGCAACGTCCATACAATTTGCCCAATGTCCTTTACAAACGTGGAACATAATAATCCTTTTTTTTTTTGGTTTATGCAATATCACAATGCATTGGTACGGCACATAAATACGATAAAAATAAACTTTGTCCACGAACGTATTCGCGCTAAAATATTTACGCCTTATTCCAAAATGCAGATTAAAGTTAGTCTTGATTGAAACCTAATGTTGTCTCTTTCTTCGTTTAGCAAACAAAAGTGACAACATCAACTTTAGTCTTGGGGGTTATTCGCCTAACGGAAATGCTTTGGAAAACGATATCGCTTACGATTTCATTTTGTTATTTCTAGCCACCTGAGGTTTTCAAATGCCTCGCGCACTTATTTTTTCTTTTGCATTGGTAATTACAATATTACAAAAAATTAGCGTGAGGTATTTGAAAACCTTCGGCGGTCGGAAATAACAAAACTAAATCGAAAGCGTTAGCATTTTCCAAAGCATTTCCGTTAGGCGAATGGGCCCCTGGTTTAATTTTAGGTTACGTTTTGTAAATAGGTGATTTGTGATTTACTTATTGTTAGCAATCAATGGCTCAATGAGCCTTCTCAGTTCCTACACTTGATATAGATAAGTAAGATGCGGTACAAAATCTACCATAAATGGGCCTTAGACAAAGAGAATAATAAGTTTATAAAATGAACTTTTCTATTTAGGACTTTAGGCCGAGTGCTACTGAAATTTTGTGATTTAGGTAAATGTTCAAAATCCCTAGTATAAAATGCTATTCCTATCTTGGTAATAAACAAAACAATACCATTTCATTTATTAACATGAGTATTAGCGTTCTTAATCCGTACTATTAATCCGATAAAATATCCATTCTGACTATATGAACGGATAGATTAACTTATTTTGCAAACTAACTAAATAGGGTGATGTCACAGACGGTACTTGTTTGATTTTGAAATATCACTAATTAAATATAATAAATAATATGCGCATATTAATCTATATATGCGATAAACCTAACGAAACATAAGAGGAAACACCGCATTCAGTCAAATTTAAACCTAACGTTCAACTAGATAGATTTATAGTTACAAAATATTCTGAGTAATATTAGTTTTATTTAGTATCCATGTTGACGAATGCATTTACAACATGTTTACTGTCCAATTGCAATAAATGATTAGATTCTAATAAAATCGGAGATTAGTTTAAACCAGGCATTTTTTGTCTCATTCTCTCTTTTCTACTCATAGAGAAGTCCTGGGCCTCATCAATGGAGATTAATAACCTGATCAAGTTCAATTTTGTACCAAATGGGTGCTGTGAATATAATCATTATTAGTAATGTATTAGAGTTAATCTACCACTTTATGTACGTCACACGTAAATCAATGTAAATTAAAATACATTTTCATTATTTTTCTACCAAATGTTGTATTATGAACTAAATTTTACTTATGACAATAATGCAATATGTTATAACGGAGATTTCATAACGGAAAATTTTCGTATTGTTAAAACAAAAAAGATAACTCACACATAACATACACCCAATGGCAAGGTAAGTTAGGTGCAACAAAATAAATATGAAAAAATAAATAAATCAGGAACTCGCATAAAAAATATATAATTATAATCGCGCGTGGAAAAAGGAGTCAAATCAACGATTTTTCTATAAATGGTCTTTGCCGTTAACTAATTTTGACTATATTACAGACATTAGAATGCATATCTGCTTAGCTTAAAACTACAATATTTATTAAAATATAAGCATGTAAAAGCTTATTTTGTAAAGAAATGAGGTCCAGTAATGTCGTGCTCGATATTACGCGAAGTGTAACTTTTTTGAAAGTTAAATAAATTAATAAATATTATGAATCTCAACAATAAATATAACATGGGTATAATTTACATACGTAAGTTTCTGCGTATACAGGCACGGCAAGCAAATTTATGCGACGAGTTAAAATAACTAAAGAGTATGCTCATACCACAGACATATAATACTATAGCAGACGGAACATAAAACCTAGTTATATTTATGAATCAAAACATGATCTTTTATCCCTTTTGTACTCAGCTACAACTCGATAGTGGCATCTCATTCTTCCATCTATTGCAATACTGACTCACACATCAACAAATGTCAACGCGTGTCATTTTTATTCCTCGCTGCCATTTTATTCATAACTTATCGGACATGCGACTTTTCGGTGTTTATTAAGAATATTGCTTTGATGAAACTATATTACAAAACGAGATTATTCAATTACTACGGTCAAGTACAGTGCGTATCGATGTGAAAGTGCTATCTACAATAGAATTTGTAGATAGCACTTTTCACATATATATAGATAGCACGTTAATCCTGGTGTAACGTTTCATCAGTAAGTTTTTATGTGTCTTTGTTGTGTACTGAAATGTCTTTGAGTCATTTCGAAGCTTATTTAAATATTATCGTAACATGTAACATTTTTTACGTAGGATTATTTATCTAAGGTACTACCGGTGAAAACTAATATCCTAAAGTAAAGAAATAGAAGTAATTAGGATAAATCATGATAGGAAATTCCAATTCTGACAACTGAAGTACTGTTGCCATAACAGAGGACGGACTCGGTATCAAAGTTTCTCGGCATTAATTTTGTTTGCATTGCATTGTATTTTGAATGTGAATGCAATCAAGAACGTAAATAGATAGGTACCTATTACAGACTAGCTAAACATATTTCTTGGAACATTGGCATCGGTAGGTATATTACCCAAATAACCACATAAACAATTTTGTTCTAGGTTTCCAAATGATGAAAGTACTTGGAATGCATGGTTAAAATATATGAAATTTCAAGATTGGCAACCAAATACTTAATTTACTCTTACTCTCAGAGAAATTTTCTAAAAACAATTGTATTATTTCAAAATAAATAGATAAAAACTATGCCTTAAATTTTTATTTCAATTTTCCTAATTGTACCTATGTCCTTTCCCTGGGTTAATTCTATCTCCGTGCTCAATTTCATCATTATCGGTTCAGCTATTTCGCCTGGCTAAATTCGCCATAAAGATATTAAACAGGCAGATTTTTACATTTATAATATTATTAGCATGGACATCACATTAGGACCTATCTATTCGGATAGGTATTTCATGAAACAATAATGAAATCCATTATTCTAAATGCGGCCCATGCTTTGGTGAGTTTCAATGTGTGTGTATTTGCCACGCTGTTTAAAACTGAATGTGCGTCTGCTACTAGTTATATGTCTGTGGCCCCGATATTAATAAACAAGAAATAAGCTTAGACTAATTACGCCGTATTTTGTTTATGTCACTTAAATGCCATTTGTCATTCAATAGACAGAGACACAATATGGAGTAACTAATCCATGCGTAGTCTTCGTTTATTAATAAGGGGTATCAGGTTCGCCATTTGCATTGTCAAGGCAATAAAGATTAAATAAAATATAAAAATAAGCTTCACAATTTTCTGGGATAAACATACTTTTTATATTACAGATTTCAAAGTGTTTGATCACTATTGCATTCACATCAGGCATGAAGCAATTACGTGGTCTAAGCAGGAGCAGCATACTCAAACAATGTCTTTTCACTCATGCCTTGAAAATCCCTATGCTATACGACGTACATCGGAGAACAATGACTTGGGAAGGCGATAAAGATTTGTTTTAGTACCTACGAAGTCTGCCATTAAAATTTAGTTCTTATAGTCATATCCTGAAGTTATAACCGATTTGAATAGCATAATCAAGATAACAATAGAGAAATTCCCGGACTTTAATATCCAACGTCGTTTTCATGCTAAACATTAATCGTTTAGCCAACTAAACACAGCCTATAACGTCTGAATAACTTATGAACAAACAAGATTAAGTTTTAACAAGGTGAAATAAAAACTTTGATTTGAGGAAACCAACCAACCGAAACACTTATTATATTGAAAACGAATAAAGTACTTGCTGGATTACTGAAATGTGTCGATTTTTAAAGGAACAACATACTTTTCCTACAACATAAAATAATTGCGAGACACAGGAACAAAATACTCATGTTGGCTAAGAATAAATAACTTAGTTCTGTAAGAAAAGTAAGTAAGAGATTAGTACCCAAGATGAGTACTCGACAACCTAACCGTCAATACTAAAAATGTACAACAAACATAAAATTTAGAAACCACGGAATAAGATTTTGGACAAGGTATATATAAGTCTTTCGGTAGAACTGTAGAGGTGTGTTGTCTCACTATTTGGTAGGATTTGCTATGCGATACTCGGCCTGACCGCTCGGTAATAAGGGCGAAGCCTGCGTCGCGGGGTGTTTATGGCCCGACGTTAGTCTGCACTCTTGAACTCGGTGTCGATGCGACGCTCCAGCGCTTGCAACTCTTCTTCTAACTCTTGCTGCAATGCGAAAACACAAGTTATGTCGTTATCCCAACTCGAGTTAATAAAGAGTAAGGTAATAATAATGTCTAAGGAAATAATCCCTAAAGCTAATTACATATATTATTAAAATGTTTCCTTTCTTTTTTACTTACGTGGATTTTCAAGTACAAGAAGATAGACAAGGTCTATTAATTCCCTTCTCTTTTGAAACTTTAAAATCACGAGATAGGTATGTAATAGAAATAATATATATATATATATGACGGGCTAGTATTTTATTCAAATGGGGAGAAACTTTAAAACTAATGCCTATGACCGAACAAGTACTGGCTTCAAATTTAACAGTGACTGTGTTTAAGTACTGAATCAAATTAAAATAGTTTGTTGACTCACATCGTCCGCCCTGTTGACGATGTCTGTTACTGGCGTTTGTCCTACGATTGGCATTCGGTCCGCGCCTACTGCTCGCCTATCCCCCCCTACGTTGAACATCTATGCAAAAATACAATAGATTTAAATAAAACACAAAGCCCTATGGTCAGCCATGAAGTCTTATGGTAGCCATATACGCAGCGATATACTTGGGCAAGTTTAGTATATTTTACTTGTGTCTGAGTACGGCTGTTAGAATTATATTATATCGCTATTTGACTATAACTTTCAGGCATTTATTTCGCCATTTGTAGTGACGAACAAATGGGAAATATACAAACACACACACACAAACCGGATTCTATCTTACTATAACATTTCTCCAGAATTTTCTAAAATATTCATAAATGTATACTAACTTCTTCTTGCGTGCCAGAACAGTGTGTTATAATAGCGTTCCGCATTCCATCAAAGTTAAACACCTGTCAAACAATAAAATAATATAATTAGGCGTTTTGTACCAAGTAAAATGGACAGTCATTGCTGTCCATTTTACTTGGTACAAAACGCCTAACTTTGGTATGATTCTAATAAAGTAATAAACATCTTTTGTTTTCATTCTCTATCTCTCTCTGAAATAATTGCATAATCCGGGTGTCTAAAATGACATTATTCACACGTTTTTCGTTCGTCATTTTTTTTTTCAAATAAACTTAGTCTGAAATGGAATGAGTAATTTAACAGATTTGTACGAGAATGAGTTAAATGTCCACCTAGATGAAATGAAATATCTTTAAATTCAATCATGTAACACAAACATATACATTTTTACCATACAACCCTCCCCCTCCCAATATTTATCTGTCAACTGAGCGGTGTTTAGTAGAAAGTCACCAGCGGTCATTATTGGGATCAAAAAGAATCAAACTTAAAAATAGGTTCATAGAACAAATTTTCGCTTGGTTCAAAAATGCCCGTTGGTCGCATACAGCTTAACAACGCTCCACTATCGTAAACGTTTTTCAACTCACGTCGCTTGGCACCCAGCCGGCGGCGTCCGGGTGTCGCTCGCGCGGCACCGACGTATAAGCAGGCGGCTTCACGCGGTAATCTTGCACCAACTCCGACGTTACTGTTGTGACAATATTAAAGTCATCATATTAATGTCCCCACTGATGGGGCACAGGATTTTTCTACGACTGCACGATGCAACCGGCACTAACGGCTTAACATGCCTTCCGAAGCACGGAGGAGCTCGATATAATTATTTTTTGGTCACTCATCCAATAATCGGCTATTGCGCAGGTTGCTCCCCGACGGAAAAGAAAGAAAGATACAATAAAAGACAATATTATGGTATACATACCGCTACCAGTTTATTATATTTCTTATACATGCCACTGCCACCATCGTTCACATTATTATAAAGTGCGCGCCAAAATGCTATTGGAGCAACCTCATGGACCTTGTGGTAAGAGAGAGTGGGATCGTTTCCAAAGCGCAAACTGTTTCCGTCCTACTCACTCACTAATGACAATTAACGAAGAATGAGAGTTGGCTCTCATTCATTTTCTTTACGCGAAAGCGCAAACTGTTTCCGTCACACTCACACACTAATGAGAATTGACAAATAATGAGGTGAAGGTTTGCGCTTTGGAAACGATCCCGCTCTCTCTGACGAAGAATGAAAGGTGGGTCTCATTCATTTTCTTCGTTAATCGTCATAAGTGAGTGGGACGGAAACAGTTTGCGCTTGTATTACGCTTTTTAATGGATATCAAAGCGCTTCGTTCGTAAGTATGTACGAAACCTCCATTTTGGGATCGATGAGCAGTCAAGTGGACTGAATGTAAATCCTTAGAGGAGCACTATGACGCAGTGGCCGGGTTACAAAATAATCTCGGGTTTATCTATACTACAGAGGATATGTTAAGCCATTAGTCTAGTCTGCATCCGCAGTCGTTATCAGCCACCAATCCCAGTCTCCCTATTCCATCCATAGGGAAAAGCCTGTAGGGCTCACAAAATCTTTACTCAAATAAGAATGGAAGCTTCATAAATAAATAGTTACAAACTTTCTTACATTGCAATCGTCTTTGCAACTTTGATTAATTCTTAAAATTAATGTACTTACGATCGTCAAACGAGTAGGGGCTCATGTTTCTTTGCGGCTCATGAACTGGCACATAAATGTTGGGCATCGGTACTTCCCCTTGATATTGCATTTGTACTTCACTCTGGTATTGTATCGGCACTTCCGGCTGGTACGGCATTGGGACCTCCCCTTGGTACGTAATAGGTACTTCTCCGTGGTAAGACATTTCGCCTTGGAAGGGCATGCCAGCGTTGGGTTGGTACACGGGGTATTCGGATCGAAAGCCGACGTTCGGGTCGTCCGCTATGGGAACGATGTTACTGTAACGCCTGTAGTAACGCTCGGGCACTGATATCACGAGGCCGTTTTGGTTTATGCTCACAGGCTGACTGTGGATTATTGCGGTGGCGTAGTTTCTGAGGAAGAATGGTTTGGGTAAGACTTTTAGAGTAACGTTCTACTTCGTTCTTTGTACATAATGTTCCATTACACTCTATACTAGTTTCTCATAATGCAGGTCATTATAAGAAATTCCTATGTAACATATCATCTAGTCATAAGACTTCCCATTATGATGAGAAAGTAAACTGATATATTATTAACAGCACTCTATGATTTTTTTATAGAGTTTCTACGACTAGCAATGTGTCAGGATTGTTTGTTGGAGTAGTGGTTAATTACAGATTATAAGCGTAGATTTCTTTAAATCCGGCCTAAATTTGGATAAACTATATTAAAATATTAAATGAAACTAGTTTTAACGGGTTAATGCACGAACTTTATTTATTTATTGACGTTTCGCAGCCTTTTCAGGTCTGCATCGTCAGAACAGTGGTGCCGCACGCGATGCTGCACTTCTAACTAGTTTTATTTAATGAGTGATGTGCGTGAAAACCTAAGAAACAAATATATTAAAACATGTTTTTTTATATAAATAATTTTAACTACCAAAAGTAAGTTAATATAAATTAACATAATATAAAAATTTAAATTAAATAAAACAATAATAATGTTACATTTTGAAACATTTAACTGCTGGATTTATAAATCAATAGTGCAAGTTGCGATTAAAATTTCCATCTATCCACGTTAATTTAATTATTGTATGAGTACGCTCAAGTGTTATTTCATTAAGTCAAAACCCTTATTTTACAGTACGTAAATTTAATCCTTTTTGAGAAATAAAAATTCAACAAACACAATTTTTTTAAAGTACAAAGTTTTTTATGTCGGAAAGGGCGTGGCGCCTCCCTCGCCCACCGGAAGTAGACAAGGGTATCTGTGGACTCCCTCTGCTTGTTTCATCCGGCTTACGAGCTCAATGGAACGAACATGGCCCTACCCAGTAAAAACCAGACGATACTCCTGTACCAATCACTTGGCACGAAGTCTGAGTACCGAGGTACCCCAAGTGTCGGGTATGGACTACAAGATTTTTGATTGCGTGGCTGTACGCATAGTACAAGGCTTTGTGAGAAGGAAAGCGGCTAAAAACAAGAGAGACGGCTTTGATGTTATATTAATTTAAGCGCCCTAAGTGCGACGAAGATAACAGACTGCTATATTCACAGAACAGTATTGTATTTGAACATTTTGTAAGATATATCAAAATAACTAGTGGCCCGCCCTGGCTTCGCTTCGGTGTAGAGCTGTAGTTTAGACTATATTTTTGTTCTCAGGCTTCTATTAAACACAATGACTTTCTTTAAATACCTAATTACTTAAGACACGCGCCGCCGCCGCCGCGCCGGCCCCCCGGCCAGTACCGCCAAAAACCGGTATGTTCCTGCATTTTAAATCTGTAATATCTTCGAAAATATTCATTTAAATTACATGCTGTAAAGGGCCATATTGATCTATATTACACGCACAATGTATTTAAGGTACTTAATTGGATAAGGATTAATGCTGTATGGCTTAAAATCGCTTGTTCGTAAATAAGCCATTATTTTCTCGTAATAAGTAATTAAAAAATGGTTATTGTGGGTTATACCAAAGAGATAGGCATATACCACCGCGGACTTTTTTGTAGACCTTTTTAAGGTGTACAATACTGTAGTACATTATTTTGATCTATCTCGTTGGGTTCAGCCAGCGTTTGCAATGTAAGCGCAAAAAAATGTGTATATTTACGACCTTACATTAGAAACCTCAAAAATAACAGTACTTCTCCACTATTTAATGGATGTTATTATACATATAAACCTTCCTCTTGAATCACTCTATCTATTAAAAAAAACCGCATCAAAATCCGTTGCGTAGTTTCAAAGATTTAAGCATACAAAGGGACATAGGGACAGAGAAAGCAACTTTGTTTTATACTATGTAGTGATGATTATTTCTAATTAAGCCTAATAATATTTTTATCCCCATTAAAATACCCTAAGAATTCTTAAATCCATGCCGAAAATTTCGCCGGTAAATTCAGACCATTAGCTGTGAATTTGAAATATACATATAAAAAAGCACTCACGTAGGGGAAATGCTGTCGACAGCGTGCTGGTTCTCCTGTGAGTACTCGGAGTTCGATAACATTTCTTGTGGCAGGGCCTGAGCCGGCGGTATAGTTGCAACTGTAGCTGCAAATTAAATTTCACATTTTCATGCCGGCTCTACACTTCATTTAAGCTACTATAGCTCGTCATTAAAGAAAGGAATGGAAAATGCCGAAACAAGACATTCTCTCTCTCTCGCACGTTATTGAGGATAGCAAATGCGACAGGGACAAAATGTCTTTCGACGTCATTTGCGCCTTTCTTAAATAACGCGAGTTATACAAAGTTTCTCTTAGGTCGCAGTGACTTCAGTTTCATTGAGGACTACATTGCCCCAAAAATTTGTAACTCAATCAATCAAAAGAAGGCTGAACGGATTTGGATCAAAATTTGGCGCACATAAAGTTCTTTACTTGGATTGAGACATACGATAATTTCTATCCAGAAAAAATCTTAAGTTCCTGTGGGATGCCCAAAAACAAACTAACTATAACGGGGACGAAGTCGCGGGGGAAGGTAGTATGACTATACAGTCAAAGAACATTACTCAGGCAGCGCGTAGTGGTGAACGGCGTGCGGCAGCGACATCGGCTGCAGCACCACTTGCGGCATCGACGTTATGTGGTCTATGAGTGCAATTAGAAAACAACATCTCACGCGACGCGTAGTTGTCGAGGTGTGGGTGCTGGTAGGGTGCGGTAGATGGCGGGCGGCATCAGCTGCGGCACCACTTGCGGCATCGACGCTATGTGGTCTATAAGTGTAATTAGAGAACAACATCTCACGCGACGCGTAGTTGTCGAGGTGCGGGTGCTGGTAGCGTGGGTAAATGGCCAGCGGCATCGGCTGCGGCACCACTTGCAGCATCGACTTTATGTGGTCTATATGAGTGTATTAGGGAACAATATCTTACGCCACGCGTAGTTGTTGGCTGCCTCGGCTGCGGCATCGACGTTATGTGGTCCATAAGTGTAATTAGAAAACAATATCTCACGCGATGCGTAGTTGTCGAGGTGGGGGTGCTGGTAGCGCGGGTATACGGCGGGCGGCATTGGCATCGGTTGCGGCACGACTTGCGGCATCGAGTGCGGCACCACTTGCGGCATTTGCGTCGGCAGCGGCATCGGCGCCGGCATCGCGGTGATGTAAGTGTAATTGCCGTTCGTTGTGGCGAGCGATGTGTTCGGCATTGATCTGTATCTGGTATGGAATGAGACGAATTTGGAATTTATACTCCATATATTTTTAACTATAGCAATTTACTCAAATATATCAACTAATGCGCGAAAATTATTTTTAAGAAAATTCTCATTAGAAACCATGAAACTTGTAAAATAGATACTTTAATTTAGTGGCGCATCACAACATTTCTTTCAGCTCGCAGTTGCTATATCGAGACTGTAAAGTCCCAAAAACAAAAATATTAATGTAAAACTCACAATTATCATTCCGTTAAATAGCCGTTTCCACCGAAATCACCTATATAGATAAACTTAAATCGGGAAAAAATACTCGTGTTCTCATCACACAAATAAATGCCCTTACCGAGATTTCAATATAGGATTTATGGAACAGAAGACAAGTGCTACAGTTGCACACACAGAGGAATCGCAATCAAGCTTAAGGCCTGAGTAAATCAACATAGTCTATTATATTTTCACAACTAAAAACTATCGGCCTACTCGGACTGACATTTATCCCGCCGAGCTCTGAAAAACATGCCTTGAGTGAAACAACAGCACCAAATAATAGACTATTCTATAGTATGAAAAATAATGTACCAATTGTTAGCATCTATGCTTAATATTTTTACTATTCTGAAAGAACAAATAACTTTTCTATAAAATCATTAAACAGAAATGATTTTTGCTCTATGGTCACGTGACGGAAAACGCCTGGGATTGGCCAAGACTAAAATGACGCCACACGCTAGTAAACTTCTGGCCAAGGTGTCATCACAATGTATCGTTTGACGTTTTAATCACAGTCGTGTGACGTCACATACTACTGAACTGAGACGCCGTAATGTCCAGAGAAACGTTTTCGCGGCAACTTGAAAATTTAATTGTTAATTAAGTTTTTTTACGGAATAGGCTAGTTGACTCTGTCGGGCAGCGACAAAATAAATAGAAAAAAGAAAAAGAAAAAAGAAAATAGGAATAGGTTTAAGAATATATATATTTACAAGAATAATATTTACAGAAAAGAATATAAAAAGGTAGGGGTATAGTGTGTGTGTAGTGTGGGGTGTGAAGTAGGAAGTGGTGAAATGGGCGTGGGGCGTCGGCAATCTTCACTGTTGCAGCTTGAGGGTCTGGAGGCGACTGCTGGCGGACGGGCGGCGCTCCTGGGAGACAGAAGCGTTCTTGTTCAGGCGTCTCGGTTCTTGGCCTGCCCACGTGGTGGCTGGTGGGCGCTGCTGGTAGATTGGTCGGCGAAGTCTTGAGATGACCGGCACTACTGATGGAACGGCAGGCCCCGGTGGTATGCGGGCCGAAACAGCTGGATCCTGGATGACGCTGCTGGAGCCCAGACGGCAATAGGGGTCCGTTGAGGAGGATGACCGTTTAGTAGTATAGTCAAGTAGAGAGTACTTTAGAAAGCCAAAGGGTGCTGATTAGCTTTGAGGTATTTTCTTGAGTCCCGGGGCAGCCGGCCCCGGGACAAGGCCTTTTATTAATTTAGAGCTCGGTAGCGAGCTATCAAAAGTTGAGTTGGCAACTTTTGCCGTAGAAATGAATGAAAGATCAGGGAGGCTCGGCCTTTTTTAGGTCCGGAACCATTTTAATTTAGACACGGTTCGAATCGAACTGAAAAGAATCAAAGTAGGTGGTCTGTGGAGGTTGAATAGGCATAGACGTAGTTGCAGAGAGTATCCGTGTCATGGGTAGCAATGGCAACGGATAAAAAACATTAAAGTGTCACAAATGTCAAGAAAATAAAGAAAATAATTTATGCCTAAACATATATAAAATCGGAGAAATACAAGAAAATTAAATAAATAACAGAATATAGAGAAATGCCGGTAAGTGTCCAGCACTTGAGAATAGTGATTTTCACAGATGGAATACGTATTTACAAAATGATGAATAGTGTGTGATATTTTTTAAATTATGTGTTTCCAGAAATACATAATAAAATATATGTTTATTCCTGATGAATATCGATGATGTTAGATGATAAAATGTGTGAAATGGAACCTATGATAGTCGAAACTATGGGACGATTCCTGAAGTACGTTGCATTTTCCCCCACGACCCCAGAAAATTTTCGACTAGAGAAAATTTTGCTTAAAGAAAAGGCCAAAAGAGATCCGAGGAACACTACTTCGGAGAAACATACAACCATTCATACAAATATCCATTCCTCTTCTATCATACCTCAACTTCAGACAGGTAAGGGTGGAGTTCACGATCAATGACTGTCACTCTAGAAGGGTGTTCCTTAATAACGACAGGCTTATTTAGGGAGTTGTCAACCGCTCCATAGGTGGAAAAAAAAATATTGACCTAGGCTTCTTTTAGGAGTAATCAACTGCTCCGACCTAATGCTTATTTAACGAGTTGTCAGCTGCTCGGACCTAAGGCTTCTTTAACGAGTAGTCAGCCGCTCGGAGAGAAGTACCAGTTAGTACTTAAGAATGTTGGGTTAAGGTAGATAAGACCATTACGGTAGTCTTAGGTAAAGGTTAAAGTAAAGGCTTTAGTTGCCTTTAGAGAGGTTAAGTAAGGTAGAGCACTGGAGAAAAGTACTCTATAGAAAAATAGAGGTAAATGTTAAAGGTTAACGTCTTTTATAGACGTTGAGAAAGCTTAAGATCTTTAGGATAAACAGTAAAATATTAAATTTAGAGATACTGATTTGAGTGATAAATGAATGAATGGTTATGAATGAATTAATGCGGTGAACGAGTTATGAGTTTTAGATTTTAATGTCATTGATATGCCATTTAGCTTTAGAGCCATTGGTATCTTCTAATATATACACTCAAGGTGAGATTTTCTTAACAATTTTACATTTTAGAAATTTAGGCGCGAGTTTAGCGCTAAAGTAAGAACCTGTATTACTTTGCACATAGTTCTTTCGCCAAACCATATCGCCGACATTAAATTCATTGAATGAGCGACGTAGGTTATAGCGTGCGCTGTTTTTAGCGTGAGCAAAGTATAAGGTAGTTTGAACTTTGTCGAAAATAGATGAGAGGAATCCAGCATTTTCAGAGTAAATATCGCGAGGTAGAAAGGTGACTTCTTCGATACTTCGAGCTGAGGTATAAAAAGAGCCGCAGGGAATTGTTTCACGACCAAAAAGTTAGGCGTATAACCAGTTATGCAGTTCACACAACTGTTCATCGCCTGTTGGATTTTAGGGAGGTGACTATCCCACTTCCTATGGTCGTCACCTACGAAGGCAGCTAAAGCAGTAATAATTGTTCTGTTGTACCTTTCAGTAGGGTTTACTTGAGGACAGTAGAATGGAGAATGAAATATAAAAGGAATTTTATATTTCTTTAAGAAGGAAATGAATTCACGAGACTGGAATTGGGGTCCGTTGTTCATAATAATGGTCTGAGGAACACCATGTATTAGAAAAACCGAGTTCTCGAGAGAAGAGATTATATTAGGCGTGGTAGCACGCTTGAGGGGAAAGATTAAATTATATTTAGTAAAACAGCAGTTAATAACTAAGACGTATTGATTACGATTTCTAGTCATGGGAAGTGGACCCATAAGATCAAGCGATATAGTCTGGAAGGGCCTAGAGCAAATTTTTGGTTTGCCCATTGGTCCGTAGGGTAAATGGTTTGGATGTTTATACGCCAGGCATGTGTCGCAGTTACAGATAAATCTGGCAATGTCCTTAAATATACCATACCAATAATATCGTAATGAAAGTTTTTATAAGTTTTAAAGATACCTAGGTGAGGTTCAAGTACAGAGCCATGGTTAGTTTCGATGAGCCTACATCTTTCATGAGGTATAGGAACTTCTTTCGAGGGCTTGTAACCGGTTTCGAAAATACCGGTAAATAAAGGTTAATACTGGTTTTTAGTAAAGGTTTCGTTCGGAGCGCATCCGAAATCAAAGCTGTACCTAAAACCTTAATAAACCGGTTTAATCCAGAGCGGCAACTACACGCGTCGGCATCGCTTGATGTTTGTTTTGTTTGAACTTACAAGTCACAACTTGCTAATGCTCAGAGATTAATGCATTTATTGGTGGTTTTCCAATTACAGAGCATAATGCGACTCAGTGGCGCACAATGCCGAATTATGCTGATGCCTAATTGGAACGTGAATTAGTTTTCAAATGCACCAGCAACGTGCGCTAAGTTCAGTGTTGAAAAAAAAAAGTCAATGTTTGTACCTTCATCCATATTTATATTTAATTTTTCAACACAGTTTGAATTAAATTTTATTATTTAAAAAAAACTACAATGAAACGAAAGTTTTAATAATTTTTCAACAATAAATAATATTACTAACGATAACATATAAATAAAACATTTCGATCAATGACAACCTAAAGAAAAAACACTTGTTAATTTTCTGTCTCTGCGTTGGTACGATTGCACGCGTCACACGAAAGCATTACTTTTGAGAGTGCTCGATTGTGCGAAGCGTTGCTGTAGTTGAAACACTCAACGTTAAGCATTATGCCGCATAATGCGCTATAATGCTGTAATTGGAAAGCTACCATTGACACGTTTGCTAGCGTCTAGTGAGTCAAGTTATTCATTTTGTAGTTGTGTACTGACACACTACTTCACTCACTCACTCGCTCTGTAGTTGGAAAATAAATTGACATAAAATCATTATAAATTTGAATTGAAACGGCGAAGGCGATGCCGTCAGTAAGAGCGAAATGAACCCTTTAAAAACCGCTTAATTGATTCAAAACCTATTTGATTTCGCTTTTTAAGAAAACCGGTTTTTTTAAGGTTAAGGTGGAGCCAAACCTAAATAAAACGCTCCTAATGTACTTGAGACTAATTTAGGTTTGAAAATTAACCGGTAAACAAGCCCTGCTTTTTTCCAAATGAAGCCATCATTGAGGCTATTTGGACAATGAATACAACGATAAAGTTTGTTGTCTTTAATAGTATAATTCGGGTAGGAGTCAGGGTTATTTTGACATCCGAGCAAAATTTTATTGTAGTGATCCAAATCACGATTAGGGGATGAAACTTCCGTGGAAATT